TGCTTGTGGATGGCCACAAGACACTTGAATTTACCTAGTGCTTCCGCCATAGCAAAGGTGCCTGGGAGGCATTTAATTGTGGTCGGTGTAGTTGCATAAACTCACCGACTGTGTCCATGTTAGCTGCTACGACTGGAACTCCCGTCCACGTCAGAGAGCTGTGCATGAAATGGAGCTCACGGTCTAAGGTGACCTACGGTGGAAGGGAAACGTATCTTCATGCCCGTACCACACCAACTTGAACCTAAGATACTCCCTACCTGACTACGGGATGAAAGGGAGCTCCTCTTAGGCCTGAATAGGACATCTTTGAAGTCCAACTTGATATCCTGGTCGATGCGGACCATTATCAACAATAAACGCTGCAGTACTCCTCCTATTCACCAACCTCTACCACGACGACTCTCCTTCCTGTTAGCAGTAGCAGATCAGGACTAAAGTATTGAGGAAATGCAAGAGAGCAAGATTTTGTAAGGGCGCAGAGTCAGCCGATGTGGAGGTGTTGAAAAGGTGTCTGTCGTTCGGGTAGCCTGAGGGCGTAATTGGATCCTGATACCGGCTAGTGCACATCTCTATTGACTTTCTATTCATATCTCCTGGAGTCGGTCAAGTCAAATACCTCCGAGAATAGCTCAGATGTACGGGCAGCCACTTTTACTGGGTCTTCTTCTAAGGAGCATTGTAGTTGATTTTGTGATGCAGTCGATGCCAGGAGGGCTAGGAGGTAATAAGAATATCCGATCAGGTTAGTTGCGGCACCTATCATGACCTGACGATTATCCTTATAGTTTTATCGTAATTGTAGGGGCATTTGGCTGGGGGAGGGGGCGGAGTGGTCACGGGTCGATTTAGTCTTCTACCCGGGACACTTTCATTTCAATGTGGCCATCACTAGCCCTCCTACGGCAAGTAGCAGGCCGGCAGGCTCTGCTCAGTGACGTGCACTCTATGAAGGTACGAGAGCTCACTCGAGCAGTTAGTGCTGCTGTTGGTAATACCACACCTTGGACAACTCTACTGAGACAACTACCCTAGGTGGCTCCAGTAGTGCTGCTGGCCTAGATCGCAGGACTCGTCATCTTCTACCACCTGCCGACATGTGTCACCGTCTGGCCTGCTGTATCCGGGACAGGCTCAAGGAAGGTGACTTTAATGGGAAGTAGGAAGCACTACTACTAGCCGAGTATTGCTGGTGTCGCTGGCCTCAGGGAGAATCTTCTAATCCTTTGTCTGAGTTCCTTCGCTAAGAGCTCCTACCGGCACACTGTCGTCTTCAGAGAGATCCTGGAGGCCTTGACCAACACTGGTGCCAAACCGTCTTGTCGATGCCACTTCGAATTGGATTCATATCAGGTCTGTTGGTGTCACCCAATATACCAACGTCGCATGCTATTGCTATACTACTTCATATGACTACTATCACGGGCAGGGATGCGGCCCTACTTGTTAGACAAGTATGATTGCTGTTTGTATTCGCAGACGTTATATTGGCAGGTTATTACGTCGATCCTGACCAATCCCCTACCCCTCACTGGCTCAGAGTTAGCCTCTATTTTCGTCACGATTCACAAGGCATGCTTGAGCGAAAACGACGTCCCTTTGGGCCACTTGGAGGCCCTGGCGGAGCGCTCCATACGAAATGGGTGCTTGCTGGGAATCGAACCTGCGTCCTTGACCAGTCTAGCATTGTCCCATGCTAAGGTAGCCTCTCCGTCGTCAGTGACCAGTGTCGTTGATGAATGGAATCCTTCAGATTAGAGGGAGTAACGCTGTACCATCTACCGTGCCAGCCGCCATAGCCACGGAAATATCAAGGCGAACAGTCGACCTGTCAGCGCCCCAGATCGCAGCGTGTGCTCTGGCCGTACGCGAGGCGGTCGAAGGGGAGACCTTTAAAGCCTGTAGGCCCTTCTATTCAACCTCAACAGATATGTAATTTCAATGCCAATAATGAAGTTCCACCCAGGATGTGAAAATCAGTGGGAAAAATATATTTCGCGACTACTGCATAGCGCGAATATCGGCTTTTTCACAGAGTATTGCGCCACTTCGCGTCAAATGGGCGAAACTTCAGTGATATGTTTATATTATAAGATGTTATTAGAGTGATAAGGCCACAGTAGCATCACTGTCATTAAAACAGGTTTGGAGGCTTTGGGAAAGGAGGTCGAATACAAACTACTTGAAATGGACTTTGATGCATGGTGTCAATTACTGCAGGTAAACGGTAGTAGGCTCTACACCTTTTCCCGATCTGTCCCAAGGATTTCTGGTGATTTATATTTTTCCATACTCGTTTCATACATCGCCGTTGTGGTAGATCTAGACTCTCCATTATCCATCTCAACATCAAGCCTTGAAGAGCATGGAGACGTATTATTAGTAATAATAATACCAGTGGGAGTTTATCGGCTGAAACAATATTATCACATACCATACATTGAACACCTTATCCTCACTCGTATGATTATATTAGCAGAACTAGTTTCTTGTTAAACTAGATCGGCAAAATGTGTCGTATACTGTGGCTATACCTCAGGCGTTTGCCCCGGGTCCATGTGCACCGAGTAACTACCATAAAGTGGCCAACTTGGCCTGTGTGCATCTCCGTCGGGCCTTTGTGAGTGATGATAGTGGAGTGTCCTTCAAACAGGCGGTGGGCGCGTGTTACTCCCTTGCTAAGCATTGGGACTTCCCGAGAGACCACGCGATGGAACTGATGGAAAAAGTGTCAAAAAGCATCAGAAGCTTTCCCGTCACGTCCTTAGGGGATGCCGGGAGTATCGCCCACTTATGGTCAGTGATGAAGGTCAGCGACATACCACTCTTCCATCACTTGCTATCTTGCATTTCCTCAACGCCTAGTAGTGATATCCTTCCGGTCCAATTACGGAAGCTGGTTTTGGCCATACGCCTCCAGCAGGGCCTCGATGACGATATAGTAGGCCGATTCGTGACGTGGTGTGTCGATCAGCTTGGACGGCAGTTGCCTATGCGGTCAGTGCCAGACACAGCTAACATGCTAACAACAGCTTCAAGGCTTGCTGCTATTTGTCATACGAAGGAATCATATGAAGATCTGAAAGCTCTTCATATAAAGGCGATAGAGGTTTCAATTCCTGGCAGGGTGTATACGACACACACAGCCTCATCGAAGTTACTCAATGCTGTGGCCCTTCTTGGTGATGCTGATGTCGTTTCTGTGCTACTGTCACGTTTGGACGTACCTCGAGAGCACAGCCATAGGAGCTTCGGGAGTAACCGGTCGGTTCTGTTGGCATTTGTAAGGAGCTGTTCGCATTTGAAGCGGCATGTGGCGTTACCTCACGAGACGGGGGTGCATCTGGACAGCCTTAGGGTGGATACGATGAAGCTGATGAATGGTAAGGAGGCGAGCAAAGACCCTCATTGTAAATGTGTTAGCTGCCGTGGCAAGATGGAGACACGGGTGGAATGACCTCGGTGAATTCATGTTTCTGTCGATCGTTTCTCCGAAGAAGTGTTGCGTCTTATTGAGTGGAGGAGAAGGTGTATTAGTTTGGGTATTGCTGATGGCACTACGGTCTGTCCCTCTGACACAACGTTCATTGTCCCAGCAAGGAGTATTGGCCATCACTCGGTGTCTATTCGGAACTATCACTGAACATCGTAAGAGCCTATTGAGGTGGCGGCATCGAGAGGCTCGTCGACGGCAAAGGCAAAAGCCGGCCAATTGGTGGCTGTCCCCTTCCGAGGCATCGAGGCTGGTGAGGTCCCTTCTCCTCCTCCTTCTCATCATCATCATCATCATTAACCTTGTATGGTCACTGTTTCGTAGGTGCCAAGTGCTGACCAACGTCTCGAGCAGGAAGGTCGGTATGTGCATCCTGACAGGGGGAGATGGGAGGTCCAAGGTAAGGAGTTACACTTATGCTGTGCTGAGTACGCCCGAGCTGATTCGCTTTTGGTTTTATTGGTGCTATGGGTGACTGATTCGGCCATCCGCATGGACGACTTTGAATTGGATTGAGAAAATATGCACATGGTCAACCACATGGGTTGGTGGCAATATAATAATTTTGGCCAGTTCTCATTGGTTTCTGTACACTTCTACTCGTATGTGAAAGTGTATGTTAGTGGGTAAACTCCTGAACTCAGCTGAGTTGAAGTGGAGGAGCTATTCATTAGCATTGGGGGACCTCCCAGTTTCCAATGAACTCCCTTGTCGAAGGCTTTTGTTGTCAGGCATGCCAGAGGGGTTCACTACTGATGTGGTGACACATGATGAGTTGGTACCACAAGGAAGGCGCTGTTGTGGATGCGGGTCCTCAGTGGGGGAGGGGGGAGTGCGCACAGGGAAGGATATCATGTCTCCTCCCACTGCTAGGTCCAGTCGATGGACCATACCAAACAGGGGTATGTTCCAAAGGCCGTTGCAGACACATTCCGGGCTGGTCGTAAGAAGGTCTACAACGCCCCTAGAGGAGTCCTGGTAGGAGTGTGCTCACATCCTCGGTGATTACCCATTGTGTCGGTGTGGGAAATATGCACGTAGTCAACTACTTATGTAGGTGACATTTGTGGAAATTTTGAGGATGAAAATTGAGGAAATTCTCATCGGCTTCTGTACGCTTTCACCCGAATTTGTATGTAAACTTCTATAACTAGTGAGGAAATTTCTGGACTAGGCTGAGGAATACGAACATATATTCCAACACTGCATTGTGTATTGTCAGGTCGATGAGGCGGATCGTGGCAGCGCGCCGGGTGAAGTGGTTAAAGTTGAAAGCAGCAAGTATAAGATGAAGACGAGGCTTATATATTGCCAACGGTAGATGCCTTGGAAGACGGCCGTGTCACCATCATGCCATTCTACTCCTGGCTGGAGTCTCCGCCCCCCCCCCCCTCCCACAGGTGCTTTGTACTACAGAAGTATCACCGCTTACCCGATCCTAAGCAAGAGGAGGATAGGCTCAGAAGGAGGGAGATCGATGAGGGGCCTCCCGTAGAGGAGGCCAGAGATGAGGAGGAGGAAGGGGAGGACGAAGACTCGATACAAATAGAACCCTTACAAGAGCTGGACGCTGACGAGCTGGCTGAGGTTGGTGGGGGACGACTTGTCGTACGGCAGCCTCTTTATGATTTGCATAACGGTTAGCAGAAAGATATACAGAATCGACATAACTCGTCGAACTGGGATATTCAACATTCCACCTGAAATTCTATTTTATGATTGAATTGAGTATTATAGATGTATTAGCATTAGAAATGTAACTGCCTAGATGCGACTCGTGTCATCGCTCAGGTCTCCAAGCAGACCTCTATGGGGTATTACCGTATGAAAGGCGGGTACCAGTGGCAGGAAGAAGAGGAGATCGTTGCTAAGGTTGTTAAGAGCATCAGGAAAGGTAAACTACTGCCTTACTCTAATGCTACTTGCAACAGTACAGTATGGTCGATTTTGATAGTCTGAAGGGGAGAAAGTTCATATGTGTTAAACTAAAACGCATGATTTTACTTTCTCATAATCATGCAAATTTGATGCCCTATGAAGCCTTAGGAGGCAGGGGGCGTATTAAGCTTCATCTAGGCGCTAGGCCAGGACTGAATAAATTCTTGTGAGTTTGTAGCAAGGATGCTGCTAGGTGTTGTAAACTGTACGCCTCCGGAGTGTGATGCTTTCTCTTGTACGCCTGGTGTAGTAGACTGTTACTGCTGATGTACAATTACAGTGTGAAACTATAGGGGCCTTGCTTGTTGGGATTCTGTAACACATACTTATGAGGCGTGAGGTCTTACTCCCAGCAACATCCCTGGTTTGTAGACTCACTCGTCCTCATGTTGGTGGACATTCTGGACTTTGAAAGCTCCATCGTGCCCGAGCTGTTCGAGTCGTGTCGACAGAAGAACCTCCAAGTGGCCACTGCTCCTCCCCTAGTGCGCCCTTTTACTCCTGCCCTCAGGTGATGTTCGTTATTAATAAGATAGATGGCATCCCCTTCTACGAGAAGAAGAAACATCAGATTCGTCAGTGGGCCACCCGAATGAGTCGTCAGATCAAGAACGCTCAGTGGTCGGATGTGGTCGGTGCCCCCTCTTTTCCCATGGCCCTCCAGGCCCCTCCCCAGGTTCTCGTATCTTCACTAAACGGTACGGGCTTTGCAGAATTGGAAGACCGGATGCGACAGTACCTCTCAGCCGATAAGCCCAGGTGCGTCTGAGTTGAGAAGATACTCTAATGTGGGCCTTTTAGGTGGATATACATCGTGGGAAGAGTGAACACGGGCAAGAGCACATTTGTTAACCGCTGGCTACGCCATATCGGTTACACCCATCTTGGGACCGTCAACTACAAGCGTGGCACGTGAGGCGGTCTCCTCCTCCTCCTCTTCCTGTACACTCCACTGTAGCCTGCCTTAGAGGTGGCATCACGCGCTCGCCCGTCCCTGGCACCACAATGCAGTTTGTGACTTTCGGCCTGCCTCGAAA